TCATCAGCTGTGTTTCAGACTTTTACTTTCTTCATCATTATATCGCCTGGTAGCTATCAACGAGCAGTGGTCACCCACCCAATAGTACTTCACGCTAGACGTCGCTTAACTTGCGTCATGCAAAGCGTGATACATACCTCACAGCCAGAGAAGCTACCTTGTTGTAAGTATTTCAAAATCTCTTATATATCTCAGCCATGTCTGTTAGGGTTAGGGTTAGGGTTACCAATTATGTCACTTTGGTTCATTTGACTTTTTACGTTATTCAGCAATACATTTTAACTAATTTAAAATGATTCAAAATTGTTCAATATCCTTTCTTTATGCATCATTATACATTGGATACATTCTCTATTTAAGTTTCAAACAGTGATTCGAAGAATAAAAGAAGACAGTTTAACGAAAATATTTAATGAAAATCTAAAATCAAGTTAAGTTTGTTAGCAAAAATCCCTGAAACCGGAATTTTTTTTTCCGGAATGCAATATTCCGGAAAAAAAATTCCGGTTTTAGTGGAACTCTTCTGTGTTTGGAACTCTTCTGTGTTTGCAACTTTTCTGAGTTTGGAGCTCTTTTGTGTTTGGAACTCTTCTGTGTTTGGAGCTCTTTTGTATTTGGAACTCTTCTGTGTTTGGAGCTCTTTTGTGTTTGGAACTCTTCTGCGCGTCCAAAACCCCACTATAGGTTACCATTTCCCGCACAAGTTACCCAATCCCGCTATACCGTTACCAAATCCCGCTCTTTTGTGTTTGGAACTCTTCTGCGCGTCCAAGATCACAGAGAGCGCGCGCTGACTTTGTGTATATGATAACGCCAGCTTCGGGGTTAGCGTGGGATCTTTAGGTCGTCACATAGAACAGTGTAAGCACACAGTGTCCCTAACGCTGCAGAGTGCGGACGGAAAAATTTGCCAGGGAAGAGAACGCTAAAAGGTAGACAATTTATTTTTTGGGAGAATATTTTAGAATTTATATTTTGAAACAGTTTCTTAGACGGAAAATTTCTTTTAATATGTATACTGCAAAATCACGTATTTTCGTGGTGTCAAGTTGTATTTGTTCTTCGGGTTTTCATTTCATGGTTCAATGAGAAAGAATTACTTAAACTTCAACTTTTTTTCATCTCGTAGATGACATAAATTTCTTGGGTCTCGACATGCAAAGAAAATAACGATAATTAAACCCCACGAAAATTAGTGATTAACAGTACGTGTCCTTTTTTTAAGTTAAGGTTGCATTTTATTTCATAACTGAATAATATAGACGAGAAAAACTGCCAAGTTAAGAATGCGTTAATTACGCAAAAATCAACTGCTATTAAACAGAATTTTATTTAATTAATTTTTTATAATTGTAATTTGATAATTCTGTAAAACTTAAACCAATATGAGCAGGAATTTCATGTTGTAAGCAAGTTAATCATTATAAAACATTGAAGGTTTATAAATTTTGGTTGTGCAGTTTTTTGGCGTTGGGAAAAAAATTGAGTAGATATAATTGAAATGAGGTATTAATTGTCGTCCTGTACAACAATTGAATTTCTCTTTAACATTCGCAATTCAAAGAAATTTTCTGCTCAAACTGGAAAAAAATATTTCAAATTTAGTTATTATTGAATATGCGTGATGTGTGTATGTAAATAAAGATTGGGGGTAACGTAGGCGTCAATTAGCGCCTAAGACCCGGAGAGCATGTAATAAATTAGGAGGTACCCCAGCAAATTGCGAGGTACCTCTCTGTGAGAATGAAAATGAGTGTAAAGCATGGCGATAAACTTAAAATAGTTTTGCCTTATAAATGATTAGTGCAGTTTTTTATGTTTACGGTATCATTTAGAAGATGTTATCAAATAAAAATGATCTATCATAGACATTTACAAAGTTTGATTATTGTCTGATAAATTGCAATTTGACTGTACGTTGAAGTCTATGGAGAGAGCAGATTTAATTAACATATTGTAAAAAGTAATTTGAATTTTATACATATCTCTCGGTAAAATATTGTATAAGATCCCAATTTGAAATGCAAAGAAATCAGATACCGGAGATAATTTGAGAAAATTAGAATTCTCTCATTGTCATAAAGGGGCAGAGAATTTGAGAAACATATATAATGCAAAATGGCCAGATTTAAAATGTTACCAATTATGTCACTTTGGTTCATTTGACTTTTTACGTTATTCAGCAATACATTTTAACTAATTTAAAATGATTCAAAATTGTTCAATATCCTTTCTTTATGCATCATTATACATTGGATACATTCTCTAAGTTTTAAACAGTGATTCGAAGAATAAAAGAAGACAGTTTAACGAAAATATTTAATGAACATCTAAAATCAAGTTAAGTTTGTTAGCAAAAATCCCTGAAACCGGAAATTTTTTTCCGGAATGTAATATTCCGGAAAAAAAATTCCGGTTTTAGTGGAACTCTTCTGTGTTTGGAACTCTTCTGTGTTTGCAACTTTTTTTGAGTTTGGAGCTCTTTTGTGTTTGGAACTCTTCTGTGTTTGGAGCTCTTTTGTATTTGGAACTCTTCTGTGTTTGGAGCTCTTTTGTGTTTGGAACTCTTCTGCGCGTCCAAAACCCCACTATAGGTTACCATTTCCCGCACAAGTTACCCAATCCCGCTATACCGTTACCAAATCCCGCTCTTTTGTGTTTGGAACTCTTCTGTGTTTGGAGCTCTTTTGTGTTTGGAACTCTTCTGCGCGTCCAAGATCACACAGAGCGCGCGCTGACTTTGTGTATATGATAACGCCAGCTTCGGGGTTAGCGTGGGATCTTTAGGTCGTCACATAGAACAGTGTAAGCACACAGTGTCCCTAACGCTGCAGAGTGCGGACGGAAAAATTTACCAGGGAAGAGAACGCTAAAAGGTAGACAATTTATTTTTTGGGAGAATATTTTAGAATTTATATTTTGAAACAGTTTCTTAGACGGAAAATTTCTTTTAATATGTATACTGCAAAATCACGTATTTTCGTGGTGTCAAGTTGTATTTGTTCTTCGGGTTTTCATTTCATGGTTCAATGAGAAAGAATTACTTAAACTTCAACTTTTTTTCATCTCGTAGATGACATAAATTTCTTGGGTCTCGACATGCAAAGAAAATAACGATAATTAAACCCCACGAAAATTAGTGATTAACAGTACGTTTCCTTTTTTTAAGTTAAGGTTGCATTTTATTTTATAACTGAATAATATAGACGAGAAAAACTGCCAAGTTAAGAATGCGTTAATTACGCAAAAATCAACTGCTATTAAACAGAATTTTATTTAATTAATTTTTTATAATTGTAATTTGATAATTCTGTAAAACTTAAACCAATATGAGCAGGAATTTCATGTTGTAAGCAAGTTAATCATTATAAAACATTGAAGGTTTATAAATTTTGGTTGTGCAGTTTTTTGGCGTTGGGAAAAAAATTGAGTAGATATAATTGAAATGAGGTATTAATTGTCGTCCTGTACAACAATTGAATTTCTCTTTAACATTCGCAATTCAAAGAAATTTTCTGCTCAAACTGGAAAAAAATATTTCAAATTTAGTTATTATTGAATATGCGTGATGTGTGTATGTAAATAAAGACTGGGGGTAACGTAGGCGTCAATTAGCGCCTAAGACCCGGAGAGCATGTAATAAATTAGGAGGTACCCCAGCAAATTGCGAGGTACCTCTCTGTGAGAATGAAAATGAGTGTAAAGCATGGCGATAAACTTAAAATAGTTTTGCCTTATAAATGATTAGTGCAGTTTTTTATGTTTACGGTATCATTTAGAAGATGTTATCAAATAAAAATGATCTATCATAGACATTTACAAAGTTTGATTATTGTCTGATAAATTGCAATTTGACTGTACGTTGAAGTCTATGGAGAGAGCAGATTTAATTAACATATTGTAAAAAGTAATTTGAATTTTATACATATCTCTCGGTAATATATTGTATAAGATCCCAATTTGAAATGCAAAGAAATCAGATACCGGAGATAATTTGAGAAAATTAGAATTCTCTCATTGTCATAAAGGGGCAGAGAATTTGAGAAACATATATAATGCAAAATAGCCAGATTTAAAATGTTACCAATTATGTCACTTTGGTTCATTTGACTTTTTACGTTATTCAGCAATACATTTTAACTAATTTAAAATGATTCAAAATTGTTCAATATTCTTTCTTTATGCATCATTATACATTGGATACATTCTCTATTTAAGTTTTAAACAGTGATTCGAAGAATAAAAGAAGACAGTTTAACGAAAATATTTAATGAAAATCTAAAATCAAGTTAAGTTTGTTAGCAAAAATCCCTGAAACCGGAATTTTTTTTCCGGAATGCAAAATTCCGGAAAAAAAATCCCGGTTTTAGTGGAACTCTTCTGTGTTTGGAACTCTTCTGTGTTTGCAACTTTTCTGAGTTTGGAGCTCTTTTGTGTTTGGAACTCTTCTGTGTTTGGAGCTCTTTTGTATTTGGAACTCTTCTGTGTTTGGAGCTCTTTTGTGTTTGGAACTCTTCTGCGCGTCCAAAACCCCACTATAGGTTACCATTTCTCGCACAAGTTTTGTTACAAAATCCCGCTACACTAATTCCCAAGTCCGGTCAAGGTAAGTATTTCCCGCACAAGTTAATATTTATTCTTATTTGTTTTCTTTTTGTTCTTTATAAATGAATAGAGATAAAAAATAGTTGTTTGTTTAATGTAGAGGAATGTGTTGCAAAATCTCCTAGAATAGTTTCTTTTTTAAGGAATTGGTATGAGTGAGGAAAAAGGTATAGAGTCTCTTCCTTCCGATGCAGGTATTACATGTAGTCATTTGTATTTTCTTACATCAAATCGCATATAAAGTTAATCAAGAAAGTGAAAGAGGATTAATTAAGATATCTAACATTTTGATAGCAAACATTAAAAGTGTAAATGTGTTTGCGGATTCAATAACAAAAAGCAGATGGCACGAAATATTTGAAATCTTAAATCTACATAATTCTGTTCTTTTCCAGTAATTGGCCCAGGTCAGCTGGTTGCCATTCCTGTCGGCTTGGCCATCCCCCCCGTTGACATCAGTAAGACACACAAGAGCACTCACAAATATATCAACTAATTTGTTATGCCTACTCTATGCATAATGCGTTTTTGAAGTACATAAAAATCATTTTACTGTAAGCGTGATTGATTACAAGCTGTATTTGTGCTATACTGTATAATACCTTTCATTTCAGAAATTTGGGATAGCTCTCATGAAATGACATCGGAGCAAGGTAATAAACAATCCACCTTTCGTTTGCTTGAAAATAAAGCATGTGCTTTCATCTTAACGTGCACATAAAGAGTGTTTTTAACTTTCATAGAAACAAAGATATATATAATATATTAATATACTATCCCTCCCTCCCCCACTCTCTCTCTCTCTCTCTCTCTGTAAGGGTGTGTGTGTAGAAGAGATAGAGATCTAATCAATTTTGTTATATATCTTTTGTTCTAAAGGATCTCGAGGGTTTATTCCAGAAGTGCCAGGTAGGAGTTAATTCAGCTTCTTCTCCTATCGATAATAGACACCAAATATATATTGATTTTTTTTTTTAAATTTTATGATATTTAATATTTATAATATATCATTTATTTCTCCTTCATATCATCTTATCGAGTTGCATTTTGTAATTACTGGAGCATTTTGTGATTCCTTTTAGTAGAGATGGAAGATGATGTGGCGGAGTCCCAGGGAAATAAAGATCCTTGTTTATCTGGTAATGAATCTGACCTAGATATTCTAGAAGCTGATGTGGCGGAGTCCCAGGGAAATAAAGATCCTTGTTTCTCTGGTAATGAATCTGACCTAGATATTCTATAATATCTAATAATATCGGAGATATTCTATAATTTGCAGTTGATATATCTAAGGGAAACAAGAATATAAGTTTGCTAAGGATAAAATCATGCTGAAGAAAAAATGAACTTATTTTTTAACAATGTTTTTCCTAAATAACAGTTACAGTCATATTTTATGGATATTTTCCCAGATGATACCAACGAAGAATCGTCTGTGAAACAGTGGAAGGAGGATAGCCTACAGAAATGGTTGGAGCATCAGTCCCAAATGGCGCGTGGGTCACACAAGTTGGACAGAGTTTCAACGTCTGTGTCGCTCCCCAAAGATAGAAGATTTGAGACTACAGGCTCTCAGATTTCCTCCAGGGAAGGAGAGCTTAGGAGAATGTTGAACGAAGCAATCACAGAAAAGGATTCAGAGAGTTTATTTTCCCTGGAGGAAATTTCAAAGTTCAGAAAAGGTAAAAAGAAAAAACCATCAACCCGAAAGACTGTTAAGGAAAAGAAAACTGTAAAAAGACTCCGACAAAAACATGCTTGTTTACAGTGTGGGAAGAGAGTTGTCCATATGCGGCGGCATATGAGGCAGGTCCATAAGCAGGAGGTGTTTGAAAAACCGGTGAGGCAAGGGCGTTACATTGTTCGCCAATGTATTTTGTGCAACAAGGCCATTGCGCGCTTTGGGGACCATCTGCGGAGGACGCACCACATCTCCAAAAGAGAACGCATTGAGGACCTCCGCTTCCGAAGTCCCAAAGTTGTGGACAACTTTACGACGTAGGTTGAATTTTGAAGCATTAATTCAATCGTATAGAAATATATTTCTTCAATTATCCATATATCTTCATTTTGTAGTGATGAATGTGTACCTTCTCTACACCTGGAGGACCTTACAGACCCAAGTGATGATGAAAGGTTTGTGAGCACAAGCATACTTGTATGACTTTAAATTTGATTTTATTTGCACTACAGCTGAATAATCATTTGAACTGTTTGTAGGGAAAGTACCATGGACGCAGCTGAAAAAAGATGCATATCCTCACCCACTGCATCCTTGGAAAAAATGGAAGAAACAACTGAGATGGACCGGTTCGTATCAGCTTGCTTCGAGAAAATTAAAATTTAAACTTTTCCCATAATATTTTTTAATTCAGTGTGTATCATAAACCACATTGTAATTGTTTAAGTGTATGTCATTTGACCAAAAATAAAATAATGAAACCAAAAAAAATAACTGAAATATAAAAGGAAATTATACTGATTTACAAGTAAGATAGCATTTCTTGCTATGCGACATGTCCCTCGTCTTGATGATGCAGGTTAAGCAACGTCAAGCATGATCAGTACTTGGATGGGTGACAGCTGCACGTTGCAAGGTTTCACAAGGGGTTATCAAGTGATATAGTGATGATACAGCAACTTTCTGAATCACATTTGATTAAGAATTAAGCATCTGAATATCACACAAAAGTTTCTTTTGTTCTTAAAGATAAGGGTTAGACTAATTCAGTAACTGCAGGAATTCATTGATCACAGTAAAAATAAGCATTCCTTTCTTAAACATTAAGGGTAAAATTGAATAAAAGCAGGAATTCTTTGCTCATAAAAATTAAGCATTTTTCAAATAAGCAAGGATTTTGTACAGTTAAGTAAGGATTAGGGTTAAAATAATCCATAGTTTTATTGTCATCTTAGTCACTCAGCTTCGGCAATTCCATTTAATAATCTAAGAGGCATCCGAACGAACCGTTATTTTAGTAACCATTTAATGCACAAACTCTTGGTTACTATTTCCCACCCTTTTCTCAAATCCCACAGAACACATAACAACCAAGTTGACATTGTAATACTCTTTTTCTTTCCTTTGCCCCATAGAAAATATTGAAATGCAATCAGATTACCGTTTCCCGCACGTTTCCCAATACGGCTTTGTTACCAATTCCCGCTATATCGTTACCAAATCCCGCTCTAGGTTACCATTTCCCGCACAAGTTACTCAATCCCGCACAAGTTGCCAATTATCGCTTTAGGTTACCAAATAACGCTCTAAGTTAGCAAATCACTCATTTGCTTTGATTTGGTAAACTATTGAAGCAAAGGGTATCATCTCCCTGTATGTTAAATATAATGAACCCATTGACGTTATAATCCCTTGATCCATTTGGCATACCCATTAGATATGCCTTCAATGAGTTTATGTTACCATTTCCCGCACTTGGAGTTACCAAATACCGTTGGAAACTATTTCAGGATTTTCGTTGAAGTTTCAAATAAAATTCGTAAATTAATGCCAAATGGTAATAATCTTACTATGAATTCTTGATGAGAAGGACCTTCTAACTGGTAGGACGGAAATCAATTGAATTTGAAAAAAAGAATAGTGAGTATGAGGAAGGGTTTAATGGGTAATGCGTAGAGGTATATTAGGTGAGACTAATGGGAAAAGAGTTCGGATATATTTAGTGAGGATTAGGAGTAATGGGTGTACTATGTAAATTTAAAATTGTTCAGGGTATACTAGGAAAACAGTAGTGGTTAGGTGTATTGGTATGCTTGGTCAGGGGTAATAGGGGATATAGTGATGATGAAAAGAACGGTCTGAAGCAGAATTGATTAAAGCTTGTTCTGAATATATTTTTTTTAAATTTGCTGAAGTGTTTTGTGACATTTTGGTAGGGAAGATCAGGAAATCAGAAGAATGGAAACAGTTAGAGAAGCTTGTATTTATGGGTGAGTATATTCACATTTGCAATACTTTTCAGATCTTAACAATGAAAATGATTTTGACAAATGAATCACTTGTTTGTTGTTGATAGTAAATTTTTATGCTATTTATAGGAAGAGTGTGGAAAGAGTGGAAGAAGTTCCTAGCAGTAGGTTGGTATCTTCATTTTTCTTGAATAAAGGAATGTGATAGAATTTGATTGTTACATCAGATAAATATTTAGAAATATTCTCAAACCATCAGGGTAAAAATATCTTTCATTTCAGTTTTGATTCACTTCCTACATTGCCTTTCTTTTTTCTTTCGTAATGTCACATGATGTTACAGAGACTTTTCATTTCTTTTAGGTCCTCTGACGACACGATCCTCTACTGGCCTCGCCCAAGCCCAGGAGAGAAATACCAATCATGTACCGACGGTAAGCCAATGCTCTAGAATTTTGAAATCATTTCTATTTATCTTTATTTGGTCTTTCCATCTCATTAAATTTAATACTTTCTTTTTTATGCTTCCGGTATGTAGTAAGTTGCTAAAATGGAATGATGTATTCAATATTTTTTTTGCTATCAGAGATATAAATTAACTTTTTTTAAATTCAAGTTCCAATCCTGGCCCGATTTAAAGCGACCCTGAAGGGCCCATTGTCGCTTCAAGATGAAAAAACGGCGCACCAAATCGTTACCCATATTTTTAATATCTGGAAGGTGGTGCGGAAGACCCCTACATTCTTTGTAGGGGATCTTGTAGATGAGGAACAAATCTTCGATGTTTGGTTCAACACAGCCATGGAGCAGTGGCAGGCGAGCACTGTTAAAGCTTACATGCAAAGCTTGGGGGACTTCTTAGCATTCTGTATTAAGGCAGACTTCCCAACTGGAAAGAAGCAGGGCCACCTGCATCGAATGATACAGATGTTGAAAGATGCCAGGAAGAGCTTGCGGAAAAAAATTGCGAAGCGAAGAACAGAAGTGGAGGCAGATGCGTTAGGTTTGTGTTTCTTGGAAAATCATTGAAAAGCATACATAAGAAAGTAGGTTTATAAGTGACATATAAATGTATATTTAATCAAGTTTCTTTTAACAGGCAATTTGATAAGTCCGGAAGAAATCAATCAGTTTTTAAAATCTGACTTGGTGGCGTCTATAGAGGACGAGATTCGCCAAGCCTCACATATCAAATGTACAATGGAGTTATTTATCAAGGTTCGGGACTACGTGATTTTCCGGATCCTTATAGCAAATGGCCAGAGGGCAGGAGCCGTGCTTTCGATAACGCACGACGTTATTAAAAAACGACAGCTAAGAGAGGAGGGATATGTCACGCTGACTGTGAGTTATCCACACACACGCTTGCATCCAAAGCTGCACTCATACACATAATCAAACATACTCTTAAGCACATTCACGCATACACACTCTCAATCAAAGAAATGAGTTCTTGTAAAAAAAAAAAAGATAGTCTTGTGAAGAAATGCTGACATAAGTAACAATGTAAATTCTTATTTGGTGAAAATTCTGCCAAGGACAATTTTTAAAGGAACCTTTAAATTACAGGTAACGAAGCATAAGACGGATTTCAAAGGCCCGGCGATGATCAGCTTATCACCCGAGCTCTGGTTCTTTGTGCAAAAATATATCCACCTGGCAAGAAGACTGCCGAACTTCGTCTTCAAGATGTCGGATTCGATTTTCATTAAATGGCCCA